GGGGAGGGGTTAATGAGGTAGCTAGAGAGCAGGGAGTTTTGGAAGAAGAAAAGGTTAGTTTGGGTGATATTTTGAGACATGGTCATGTAGTATGTGGCAGAGCTTTGGATGTGTGATGTTAATATTTTCAATTTTATTTATAGGGCAAGTGGAAGCCAGTGGAGTGACTGGCAGAGAGGGGCGGTGACACTAAGCAGTTGGTATGGCACATAAGTCTGGAAGCAGCATTCATGATAGACTGCCGGGGGGGGGGGCAAATCAGGTAGGCAAATCAGGAGAGAGTTGCAAGACAAGAGATAACAAGGTGGTGAATAAGTACTCGGCGGTGTCATTGGGTGGTGAATAAGTACTTGGCGGTGTCATTGGTTAAGGAGGGGTTTATTTTGGATATATTACAGAGATGAAGGCAATGAGATTGGAGGTAAAAGGGAACAAGAAAGGCCACATTAATATGCATCTACAAAGCAGCTGTGTGTATATTTTAAAATCTATTCACAGCATAATGAACACATGAGGCAATAATTTAGTGCTCCCCCTGCTGACTGCAATAAATATGAATATGCTTACATTTTTGTTACATTTACCCAACTAAAAAAATTAAAAAACACATTATAGTTTTGCTGTAATACTTCTTGAAGAGTTGTAGGTTGGATATAGGTTATAATACGGTATAACATTAAGAAATTAACTCACCTTTATAAGAACAGCCGTCTGCTCTCCTATGTAATCTATTAAATGCAGATTAGCCAAAGCCTAAAAACCAAAATAGAGTAGTTTATCATGGGGCTGCCACATTTGTTTATTACATATAGATACTGTGTTCACTGCTTAAAAGCGCTTATTAGCACATTGCTTTTGCATCACTGCAGGTTTATGGTCAGCCCTCTGTCAATAGATTTTCTCCAAGAACAATCTATTCTCTAGGGGACATATTTGTAATGCTGTAAATGTGCTATTCTTTAAAAATGTGTCCCTAGACATCTTACAGTTAATTTTGTTTCATTTAAAAAGTCATAATAAAAATAGTTTCCAGGTAAATTTTACAGCAGCAGCTCAAAATAATGACTAGTGGAAAAATGTAAAAATACAACACTGAAGAGTAATTCCAGCTTATACCCTTATGGTTTAAACAAAACAAACGTGTCACAACTACCTCTTTGTAATAAATTGCTATGCAAGTTAAGCTGTCCAAAGAAGCAGGATGAATTATATACCTGGAACAATTCTCTTATTATTTGAAGCCATCCATCTCTGTCCTTCAGAATAAAATAATATACATGTATAAAATGACTCAGAGACCAGAAATACTGATTCGCTGCTTGTATGTGAGTAGTCAGTATGGTGTTTACAATGTAAAATGAATGTAGAAGCAGTAGAAGTCTGCTTAAGATGCTCATCCCAAACATGTAAAATAAATGTGGGTAATTTTAAAGTGAACCCATGCATGACACCTTTAACCTGCAGGGTGTGGGACCTTTTTAATTATCACTGGATGCAATGGGAAACTAAAGTCAACATGCAAATTTGAAAGACCTATTTCATCCCCAAAACTCCAGTCATTCCTTTAAACCTCTGGGGTTGCATTTTTCAGTGACAGTGCAGAGGTACTGCACTACAGGGACGGGCCTGGTGGCTTTAGGAGCTGGAAGTACCATTTTATATTGCAAGCCAGAGTCTATCAGTAAGTCCAGGAGTTGAATCCATCAGTCCTGTTACAGAAGTTTCTATAACATCATTCTAACCACAATGCTTTACAAAACATAGTAGAAAAAATTAAGCCCCAAAAGAAATTAACAAAGGCACAATTTTCCCTAGTGGGGAAGGGATTAAAACAGCTCACAGATTAAATATGTAAATCAAAGGATAAAAAAAGTTTTAGTAACTATCTGAATCGTACCTCCATTAAAACAAACAGCGCAGCAAAGAACAGCAGAGTTGCCCATTCCACTCGATGCAGAATCATTTCAAAATCATGAATATCAGCAAGAACAAGCAGCCATAATGAACCCAAAATTGCAATCCATCCTGTATTCACAAAAAATATACATTTAAATGCATCTTCCACAATTACATATTCCAGAGCTGAGCACATTGCACAATGTTTTCTCTTGAAAGGCTATTAATGGTACATACAAACTCAAGGACAGTTTTAAACAAAATGGCATCATGCTGAAAAAGCTAAGGAAGGCCCAGAATGATTCAATCCCATTGCAGCACCATTCCAATGGGCTTGATTTACGAAATGCAAATAGGCTGTTCACTGAGCAAGGGAATTCTGCTTTTGCAAGGGAATGTTCCCCTTGTTTAGTAACCGTGGTGAAAAGTCATAGAATAGCCAATCACACACAAGGAACATTTGAAAAACAGTATTTTTGCTTGCACATTGGATTGTGGAATTGGAATGGAGGTCAGCAAAGCTTCATTTACTATTCTAAGGAAAAAATTCCCTTGCAAAGTGAACAGCCTATTTGCCTTTAGTAAATCAACCCCAATGTCTTATCACCAAAGTATTGGGCTCCATTTATACCTATATTTTAGGTGTGATTAGGGATTCCGGTGTCAGGAAGTTGAAATTTCCTGCAGAATGAATCCCTAATCTGCCGTTTACAAGTGGCAGCGGTCACAGTTAATGATCGGGTGGAAGCTGCTGCATTTGAAAGGCGTCGGCACACTGCATGTAATAATATGTGACACGATTACACAAGTTTAAGACTCAAACTTTTAAAATGCCACTATATATTTATAATAAACCTCCATTAGCCCAGAATAATATATTAACAAGTATAGCTAGTTAATATATTATTGTATTGTTCATTACAGATAAACTTCACATTTAAATTCAAGAAAGGAATTGTGAAAACCCATTTATACACAAACATGTATTTTTATTACTAGTAAAGTGGGGAAGGGGTAAAAACTGTTAGTCTTTTATTTTTGTCTTTCTTCATTAGGGACATTTGTTCTCACTTCATAAGGCTGACCATTGTTAGAGAAATTTGCTCTCTTATTGAAAAGATTTTCCACTTATTTTTGGTTGTGCCTCTGGTGGAGGAGGTGAGGAAATCCTACAAAATGAGTAGACAGACAATAAGAAAAACCTGACAGAAGACCTAACCCTTTCCTTCTGCAAACAAAAGAAGAAAAAAATACTTCTTAAATTCTGTTTCAACTATTACAAAATAAATTAGTAAGGCCAGATGAGATACATCAAAGAATATTATAAGAGCTTAGTCGTCTTAACTGTATTAGCAATTCCAATCACTGCTTACCAAGATTAAGTTTTATAGCTGATAACATTTTCCTCTGCTTAGAGAAATGGTGAAACAGAAAATGTACAGTACTAAATCAATTTTGTAACTTGATAACATAATCCCATCTGTAACCTCTTCCTGTCAGCCCCACACATATATCTGGCAGCACAGGGTGGGCCTTATGCCATGCTGCCCATACATGTGTTACTGTTTTATGTATGAAGCTTACTCAAACACAGGTGCCCAGCATTTTGACCGCACTGTCGCCAACAAGTCAAGGAGGGATGATCAGGAGATTGTAGGATGGGCTTCCAATCATGTGATCACTGTGGCAGCCAATCACAGTGATTATATGTTTAGGAAGCTCATGAAACACCTTATTGTTTAATGAACATTATTAATGAACATTATTGTTTATGGGCCCTACTATGGGCAGAGACAACAAATAATGCACACACATGTGGTATCCCTATGCATGTCACAAGTATGAGAATTTACTTTGGGTTGCTGTTGGTGATGGGACATGGAAATAGCAAGAATTATACAGCTAAAGTTTCAACTTTTTGGGCTTATTTTGCAATTTTGTGGCAGTTTTTAATTAAACATTTACTCCCCAAAAAGGGTAATTTTGTCCTGAAAAAGGTGTATTTCACAGGGTAGTGGATACAGTGGCGGAACTACCGCCGGTGAAGCCGGGGCCTTAGCCTGGGGGGGCCCAGCACAGTCCCTGTGCATAGATGGTGGGGCTTGTCGGCTGCCGGATCGGTATCCAGCGGCCGGCGGGCCCCCAGTCTCCGACGGGAGTGTCGGATCATCCATTCATCTGACACTCCCGGCGCAGAGATGGGGGCCACCATCTATGCACAGGGACTGTG